AAAAAAAAAAAAAAATAAAAAAAAAAAAAAAGTGGGGGGGGATTTTTAATGAATTGCAAATGGTTACCAGCTGGGCCGAACCTCGCGCTTTATTGCAAACAGCCCCGGCCTCGTGTGACTCCACACGTGCAAGGAGCTGCGTGCGCAAAGGGGAACGTGTGCCCGGGGGGGGATGCGGGCAGTCCCGATCCCCAAAACCACCCCCCGAATCTCCCTTTGCCAGAGATGCGGACGCTAACCCTGACATCCCTGCAGCGCCCGGGCTGGGGAACCCACCTTGAGGAAGGGGATGACGAAGGGTCGCAGCGGGAAGTTGGTGGCCTCCTGGAGCTTGGCGTGAAACTCCTCGATGGTGAGCGTGGAGTTCTGTGGGAACAGGCCGGGCTCAGCGCCGCCACCATGGCCGCCCACCCTCCCCTGCTCCCCCCCTACCCCGGGAGGGACGCTTTGCTGTTTCTCCCCCATTTCTGCTTCTCTGCCAGCTCCGTCACGCTCAAGGGAAAACCACGCTTGAGGGAAAACCATCCTCAAGGCTTTGCTGGTGATGCCAGCAGCAGGGACCCAATTCTGCGCTGTGCCCACTCCAGGTGCTGGGCAGATTCCAGGAGATGCTGGAAAAAACAGCCTCCATTTTTCCAGGGTTTAGGTCAATCCAGCACCAACGGGACTCTTTTTTTGGTTTTTTTTTCCTATTTAGCAGCATCTCCATCCCCAAAAGAAAACACAGAATCCCCGGACAGGGCATCACCCCACCAGCCCCGGGGCTGTCCCCACACCCAGCAGACGTACCACGAGCCCCAGGACGAGGGTGCGCACCCGCTCCCCGATCTCGGGGGAGATGTCGTTGCCGAACTGCTGCAGCGTGGTGAGGAAGCGCTTGAGCTTGGAGAGCTGGCGGGCGCCGCAGGCCGGCGGGAGCTGGTGGGTGGAAAGGGAGGCGGTGGAGGAGGTGGCCGGCCCGTTGCTGAACCCGTTGGGGGTGGACGGGGCCCCATTGATGGCGGTCGGGGAATGGCTGCTCCCGTTCATCACTGCGAGGAAAGAGGGGGACGGGAGGTCAGAGAGGGTGGTCGTGCCCTAGCACCGCGGGGACAAGGCTGGGGTGGGGGGACCGGAGCATCCTGCCGGGTACCGTGGGGCTGACACCCCCCCAGGAAGCTTCGGGATGCTGCTGCATCCCTGGGATTGCATCCCGGACCGGTCCCTGGCACTGCAGGAGGCAGATGCGGGCTGCGGGGAGGGACGGGATGCAGTGCATGCCCCAGTGCAGCAAGGGCCTGATCCTGCTCCTCGACGTTCAAGGCAGCCAAGAGAGAAGGAGCCCCATCCTGCCCCTCTGGGAGCTGCTCAGCAACCCCCAGGAGAATCCACGAGGCGTTTCCCATGGAGCCCAGCCTGGCTTGCAGCACACCGGTGCCTCTGGCCCCGCTGCCCAGGTGAGGAGGACGGGAGCTGCCCGGAGCATCCCCACACCAGGGGACGGCGGGGTGTACATCTCGGGGTGCCAGCCTGCGGTGCGGCCGGCCCCTCACTCCTGTCCCAGACCTCGGCGCAGACCGTGCGAGCGCAGGGACCTTTCCGCAGCCTGCGTGGGCGACGGCACGCGTCACCCCCATCTCCTGCCCGCGCACCGCACCGCGGCACCCAGGCATGCACCGCGCCTCTCCCCACGGCGCGCCGGGCACCCAGCTCTCCTGGGATCGCACTAACCTTGCGGTGCCTGCGCCGCCCTGCCTGCCCTGCCTGCTTTGGCGGGCTCCCGCTCGCTCTACCGCCGGGGACGATCGG